GCTACACTGCCGGATGACTATCGAGAAGAGCAGACTACCACTCTGGAAAAGGAAGTACTATGGTGCAGGAGAGCAACTTATTCAAGGGTTGCCGAAGTTCGACGAACTCGACGGCACTAGCTCTGGGTTACAACACTACTTCGTGCTTTGCAAGGGACGAAGGAAGTAAGAGAGAGTGACCTTATTAATCCTATGGATTTGGTAGTTGGAATACAGGAAGACGAAGAGGTGGAGGAGGTTAGAGAAGAATTACTGGGGGTAACCTGTGCTAAGTGCTCTCATCTGACATGTCACGATAATGTGCAGGAACCAGAGTCGGTCACCGAACTACGCCGTACCTCGCGGTCCCCCTTAATACTTCGTGGGGGATGGAATTCAAGAGGGTTCCTCACGTTCGATGGTCGAACTTATGTGCCGAACTACGCCGATGCTCGACTAAAGATAATGAAGACGCGGCATGACTCGGTCCTAGCGGGTCACCCAGGCTCAGCGAAGACTCTCGAGCTAGTCCTACGGGACTACGTTTGGGTTGGAGTAAGGAAGGATGTTGAAGATTACATCGCTGGATGTGCGGTGTGTCAGAGAGCAAAGACTAACAGGCAGAGACCCCATGGAGAGCTTAAACCACTGGAAGTGGCTACGAAGCCATGGTCCAGCATTTCGATGGATTTCATTGAAGAGCTCCCGAATTCCCATGGATACAATTCCATCTTAGTAGTGGTGGACCGGTTGACCAAATGGGCCATTTTTATCCCGACTACGACGAAGTTAACCGCAGCTGGCCTATCCGAGTTGATAATGGACTATGTGGTAGCTCAGCATGGGCTACCAGAGAACATAGTGTCTGACAGGGGATCGAAGTTTACCTCGAAATTTTGGAAGAACTTGACCGATAGTCTCGGGATAAGACTACATCTCTCTACTGCATATCATCCGCAGACTGATGGACAGACTGAACGAACCAACCAGTCCTTAGAGCTCTACCTTCGAATCTTCACTTCTTATCAGCAGAACGATTGGTCGAAGCTGCTTGCTCGAGCTAGCTTCGCCTACAACAACACCCATCATTCTGCGATAAATAAGACACCATTTTATGCGAACTATGGGTACCACCCTCGATGGGCTGAAGAAATCAAGGCCAGCGAAGTCGAAGTGCCCGCTGCTACGGTGGTGGTAAAAGACTTGACTGAAATACACAAAGATTGTATCGAAGGAATTGAGAAAGCTAATGAGAAGTACGCCGAAGGATACAATAGGAAACACCGGACCACGCCGAACTTCGCAGAAGGAGACCTAGTGATGCTGTCGTTAGAGAATATTAAGACGAAGAGACCAATGAAGAAGTTAGATGTTAAACAAAGTGGGCCGTACAAGGTAGTACGGCAGGTAGGTTCTCATGCTTGTAAATTGGAATTACCAGGAACGATGGCAGGTATCCATGATGTATTCCATGTCTCCTTGCTCCGTCCTTATCACCCTCCAATATTTCCTGGTCAGCAAGCTGAGCCACCTGGGCCAGTAGAAGTAGACAATGTGGGAGAGTCTTGGGAGGTAAAGGATATCGTGGACTCTAGAGTAAATAAGAGGTCAGGAAAGTTAGAGTACTTGGTGGAGTGGTTAGGTTACGAAGGAACAGACGATTCAGTATCATGGGAACCAGTGGAGAACGTCGATGGAGCTGATGACATATTGGCGAAGTTCCACGAACTTCACCCTACTAAGCCGAAGGAAGGGCGCCTGCGAAGGGCTAGGAGATAGAACGTACTGCATACAACATAGGATTACAGCTACGTACCGCTCACTTGTCCTTACTCTTACCCTTACCTTTTCCTTTTCCTTTCTCCTTCGATCTACTCGGTCCCGCGGGATTGGTGTGGAGGCTACCGATGACCGAAGGTAGATCGAGAGTCTCAGACGGGAACGCAGTAGAGAGAGAAGCATTCCATGCCCGATTCATAGCCCCAAAGAAGTCACCGAAGTCCTGGACATCTCGAGCAGCTTGCATGCTCGGGGTCCTCCACAGAGAACGTATGGTCCGTAGACACTCGAAGGGAAGACTGAGGAGGTCGAGAGCAGTCTGGGCTGAAGCTGGGACACGAGAATTACTACGGCGACCTAACCAGTCAAGGGACGGTGGTGGCTCATACGCCATAGGAGTGACTAGGAAGGGGGTGTCGAACAGTCTTCGGCGAACATCGGCTATCTCAGTAAGGCTTCGGCGAGAGACGTCCGCTAACCTTGTCCTTGCTTCGTCGTCCAGAGCCCCAGTGTTGACTACATCTACTAACGCCGCAGTAAGATTGTTTAAAGCGTTAGCTTGACGAGAAGAGAAGTCAAGCAGGAGAGATGTATCATTTCGGGCGGCCTCAAGCTGAGTAGTGAGACCGAGGACGAGAGAACGATAAGTGGCGAGTTCCTTTTCGTCCTCAGGAATACGGACGTCCAGGGAGATACGAGGGTGGACGAGGGACAACCGGGGAGCAGAGGGACCAGCACGCTGAGTATCTTCATTTTCCACATCACCATCATTGAAGGCAACCTCCTTCCCTTTAGATGACTTCGGTGTCTTCTGGGAAGCAGAGGGAGGGGTGACGGGAGGGGCCGCCGAAGAGGCCGGAGGAACAGAAGGACGCCGACTTCGGGTGCTGTGAGCCGGAGGAGAAGCTACCACTGGAGAGGACGGACGTGGCGCCGAAGGACGAGAGGCCGAAGGACGGGAGGCCGAAGGAGCAGAGGCCGAAGGACGGCGAGAAGACGAAGGAGGAACAGCCGGGAGACGTGATGGGCCGGCCACAGGAGCGAAGGGCGACGGCGACGGAGGCGACGGGCGGAGGTCCGGCGAAGTACGGCGAACCGACCGGAGAGACGAAGACGGTACCCGCGAACGGGGGACAGACGCTGGAGTCTGGGGAGGGGGGAGAGGAGAAGCGTCGAAGGGACGGGGCGGGATGTCCCGGGCAGAGGAAACGGGACAGAAGGAGCAGGGGCCAGACGTGCATGAAGCACAACGGAGGGCCTTGTTGTGTGGCCTGACTGCCTTGAGGCAGGGCCAGTTTTGGACGATTATACGTGATAATCTCACGTCTACTAATTAGCAGGAGTAACTTCGGCGTAGTACGAATAGGTGGACTCACCGGCAACGATCACACGCTTCGTCAACACCAACCGCGATCCAACGACCAAGGCTCGGACTTCATCTTCTCCCACAAGTACTCTTCTTCCCGCAGTGATCTCTTCATCTGGGAGAAGGGGGGGGAGCAGCGACGGGGGCGGCGGGAGCAGGACCGGCGGCGGGAGCAGGACCGGCGGCGGCAGCAGGAGCGATGGCGGCGGCAGAGCGGGCGGCGGCAGCAGCGGCGGCAGCGGCGATGGCGTTGGGGGGGGGGAGAACCCCGGAAGAGGAAGAAGAAGAGGAAGAAGAAGAAGAGGAAGAAGAAGAAGAGGAAGAAGAAGAAGAGGAAGAAGAAGAAGAGGAGAGGGAACGGCGCCGTTTCTGGCCCACAATTTGAGCAGGGGGAGGGGCAGGAGCGGCTGCGAGTTAGCAATGTCTTGGAGAGCTAAAGAGCAGATAAACAAGGCCAAGTTCGGCGAAGGTGTGAGAGGTTGGACGAAGAACTCACGCTCAGGACTATCTACGTTGTTGTCCTCTACACTAACCGCCACCATATCATCATCCGAGTGTTCCTCTAACTCGGTTTCACCCTCCGACACGATTCTATCATCCTCATCACTATAATCACCCCCTTTTCCTTCGAAGTCTGACTGATCGTCCGACTCCGAACCACTGAGCGACTCCTGGTCGGAGGAGGACGGAGACTCACCAGGACGAAAGGCGGGCGTCCTGCGGCGAGGGCTGGCGGCAGGAGGGGAAGCAGAGCGAGAACCAGGAGGAGGAGAAGCAGAGGGAGAACCAGCGGGAGGACCGGCGGGAGGAGAAGCGGAGCGAGGAGGCGGGACATCGCCAGACGGCTCCCCCAAAGAAAGGGTGCCGAGGCCGAGGGAGGAGACTTGGCGAGATCTGTCGCCGAAGGAAACTGAACATCAGCCAAGTCCGGCGAAGTAAGGTAAGTGTCGAGGAATAACTCACGAGCAGACGACACCATACCACCAGAGTTCCTCATGGCGGCGAAAGGGTTAGATGTAGGAGTAGAAGGGGCCATGACGTTAAGATATTTAAATGAGAATAAAACTCGAGGCGATGATTCAAGGTAACAAATCTGTTTTCTAGGTAAGAGAGATAGAAAGTTTTGAAAGCAGATGGGAAAAAGAGAGAAGCTCGACGAACTGCTCAGTATTTAGTATAATCAAACCTAACCCCTCGTCGTCAACATGCAGCAAACTTCGCGTTTCATCAACAAAAGGCATCGCAGGGACGATCAAAATTCCCACGCTATAGTGTCTCATCTCAATATAAGCGAGGGTTACTTCGACAAACAACGGTGTTGTTCGGCTGCCATTCAGGAAGCGTGTCTCACCTACAAAAGACACAGGGCTTCTTACGGCAAACCTCGACGAAGTTAGGGGAGTCTCATTGTCGGGTTCTGGAGTGAAAGGAGGCCCAACTACGAAGTGCGGCGCAAAGAGCAGAAGAGTGGAGGATGGTCATGGGGAGGGAGAGAATGGGGTACTACGCTGCTAAGTTCTCTTGCCACGACAGAGGTGTAATCGCTCACGAGGACGTTCGCGGCTAAAGAAGGGGGCGACTGTCACGAACTACGTCGTGACACCTCGATTACTCCACCAACAATGACCCTCCTTTGGCCATCAAAACCCCATCACGCCTTAACCTCTTTACTCTACACGTAACTCAGGACTTCTGACACCAAGTACGGCGAAGTTAGACGGAGTTAGGCTAAGTAGGGACAATGGGAGCAGAAGTACGGCGAAGTTAGACGGGGTTAGGCTAAGTAGGGACAATGGGAGCAGAAGTGCGGCGATGTTAGGCGGGGTTAGGCTAAGTAGGGACAATGGGAGCAGAAGTGCGGCGATGTTAGGCGGAGTTAGGCTAAGTAGGGACAATGGGAGCAGAAGTGCGGCGATGTTAGGCGGAGTTAGTCGAAGGAGGAAGAGGATGGCCGAGGGCTCGGGGAAGTTGGACGAAGTGCGTTGAAGTACGTCAAAGCGCGAGAGGGTTGGATGAACGTCTAGGAGGAGTAGATAATATTAGCTGAGAAGATCGCTGAAGTTCTTCAGCGATCCTTGATTGTTGTCAGTAGTGAAAGACAGATAGAGATAGCTATAAATCAAGATACATCGCCATCAGTAGAACAAAACCCTAGTTAGAGTAACTACGCCGAAGTACGCCGTAGTTACACCCCTTTCGACGTCTGCGCCCTCCTGGTTGGGTGAGACATCGACTCAGAGCGTGAAGTTAGCCGAGGTTCGTCGACCGTCGGTCTATTAAGAAATAGTTGTTCGACGGCCGTGACACCGAAGTACTGAGTATTTAGTATGACTGATACGACTACTCATCGTCAGGGCGCTGGTAACTTCGCATAACAAGTTGTCTCAGCGACAACAAACACCATGGCGACGATCAGAATTCCCACGCTACGTGTCTCACATTCATATAAGTTAGGGATACGCTGACGAACTTCGACGAGGTTTGTTGTACCCCAAATCCTCTGTCTCACTTACAATGTAACTACCACAGGGTAACAACAAGCAACCACGATGAACTTCGACGAAGTTTACTGTCCGATTAACAACAAACCATGGTATCATCTACCAGCAACCGTTATATGACAAATTGTGTTTCCTGCAACCTGCTGAGTGTCTTTTTTTCTTCATTACATGCATACGAAGCTCACGAGGACGTTCGCGCCTAAGGAGGGGGCGACTGTCACGAACTACGTCGTAACATCCCTGACAACCACCATCACCGACCCTCCTTTCACCATCACCGACCTTCCTTTTCACCACTACCAACCTCCACTCGAACCACTGAGACCAACTACGGCTAAGTTACGAGAACCAAGAGGGGATTTGTCACGATAACCCCGCCTAGCGGGGAACTACGGCGAAGTTAGGGGAAAGGAACCGAGGGAGAGCAGAACAGGGGAAGGTACGGCGAAGTTGAACGAAGAGGACTGAGCGTGAGGCAGTGCAGGAGTTGAGGGACATTCTACGAGAAGAGAGGAGTAGTATAGATAGTTTACAGATCGCTGAACTTCTTCAGCGATCCTTGATTGTTGTCAGTAGCGAGAGATATATTCAGTAGCTACAACCTTCGAATTAAGGAGAGCTACCACCGAGCAGTTCAACGTACTACGGCGAAGTTAGCCGTAGTTCATCGACGATCATCTTATCAGTTTACCACTCGACGAATCACTACGGCGAAGTTAGCCGTAGTTCCTCAACGAGTACCCTGTCTTAGTGAGACAACGACGCCCCACTACGACGTAGTTAGCCGAGGTTTGTCGACCGTCGGTCAGTAGAGAAGAAGAAACGACGTCTTTGACATGTACCTGTCAAAGAAAACAGCAGTCTCTTCTGCACACAATCCTTCTCACCTGCTGCATCAAACTAAGAACATCTCATGAATCAAGCAGCTCTCCAATACGCGGAATAGAGTTGAGGAATCCCGTACGATCGCGCCTGTCGCCTACCATTCGCTAGGTTCAGGACGGAGTCCCAGTTCCTCATATCCAAGCTGTCTTCTTGTCACATACTGCTCTATGCACTCTTCTGTTACATGCACATGGGTTGTTTGGTAGAAGTCAGCTATCCTAGAGAGCAAAGCAATGGTACCCTTGAGGTCTTCTCTAAAGGATTGTATCTCATGCAAGTAGATCTGGAGTTGATGCATTGTCAATGTAAGAGCATTCCAATGGCGAATGGTCCTCGACTATCGAAAGCTAAACGAAGCGACAATACCAGGCACATACCCTCTACCATTGATAGGTCAAATCACCAAAGAGCTTGGAAAGGCAAGGCACTTCAGCAAATTGGATTTGATTGGGGCATACCAGCTACTGAGGGTGACAGAGGGACATGAACACCTAAATGCGTTTAGGGCACAGTACGGTATGTTCGAGTCTCTTGTTGTTCGTGATGGGCTACAAAATGCCCCAGCTGTTTTCCAACATTTCCTGAACAAAGTGTTTAGAGAGTTGCTAGGGAATGGAGTAATAGTCTACATTGACGATATTTTCATATATGGAAATACGTTAGAAGAGCTACGAGAAACTACGACGAAGGTGTTCGAGGTGCTACGGAAGGCGAGTCTTTATGTGAAGGCTAGTAAGTGCGAGTTTGAGAGAGATTAAGTGGTATTCCTGGGATTTGTGGTATCTTCTTGTGGAGTATTGGTGAATCCAGGATACATTGACGCTATCACCTCTTTCCCGCGTCCAAAGAATCTACGAGAGTTGTCACGAACTACGTCGTGACATCTCGAATATCCCACCATCAACGACCCTCCTTTGACCATCAAAACCTCTATTACGCCTTAACCTCTTCACCTTACACGTAACCTAGGACATCTGAGACCAACTACGGCGAAGTACAACGGGTGAATAAGGTATGCAGGGGTCTGGAGCATAAGGACGGCGAAGTGCGGCGAAGTGCGGCGAAGTGCGGCGAAGTTAGACGGAGTTAGGGGTATCTAGGAACAATGGGAGTAGAAGTACGGCGAAGTTAGACGGAGTTAGGCTAAGTAGGGACAATGGGGATCCGATGTACGGTGAAGTTTGACGAAGTTAGGGTAGGTAAGGACAATGGGAGCAGAAGTGCGGCAATGTTAGGCGGGGTTAGTCAAAGGGGGACGAAGTACGGCCGGGGACTCGGGGAAGTGCGTCGAAGTACGTCAAAGCGCGAGAGGGTAGGGTGAAGATCTAGGAGGAGTAGATAATATTAGCTGAGAAGATCACTGAAGTTCTTCAGTGATCCTTGATTGTTGTCAGTAGTGAAAGATTGATAGAGATAGCTACAATATAAATCGAGATACATCGCCATCAGTAATGTCACGAACCATGTCGTGACATCCCTGACAACTACCATCACCGACCCTCCTTTCACCATCACCGAACCACTATCCACCACCACCCCGAACCACTGAGACCAACTACAACGAAGTTACGAGAACCTAGGGATTATTTGTCACGACAACCCCGCCTAACGGAGAACTACGGCGAAGTTAGGGGAAAGAAACCGAGGGAGAGTGGAGTAGGGGAAGTTAGGCGAGGTTAGTCGGAGTAGGATATCGGGGATATGGCGAGGTACGGCGAAGTTGAACGAAGAGGACTGAGCGCGAGGCTGTACAGGGGTTGAGGGACGTTCTATGAGAAGAGAGGGGGAGTATAGATAGTTTACAGATTGCTGAACTTCTTCAGCGATCCTTGATTGTTGTCAGTAGCGAGTGATATATTCAGTAGCTACAACCTTCGAGTTAAGGAGAGCTACCATCGAGCAGTTCGACGTACCACGGCGAAGTTGGCCACAGTTCATCAACGATCATCTTATCATTTACCACTCGACGTATTACTACGGCAAAGTTAGCCGTAGGTCCCCGACGAGTACCCTGTCCCAGTGAGACACCGACGCCCCACTACGACGTAGTTAGCCGAGGTTTGTCGACTGTCGGTCAGTAGAGGAGAAGAAACGACGATTGTGACAAGTAAAAACCCCTTTTAGAAAGAGTAGCTACGCCGAAGTACGTCATAGTTACCTCCCTTTCGACGTCTGCACCCTCCTGGTTGGGTGAGACATCGCGCTAGAATCACCAAGTTAGCCGAGGTTCGTCAACCGTCGGTCTATTGGAAAGAAGTTATTTGACGGCCGTGACAACAACGACACATGAAAAACATCATGAAGCTTAGCCATCGAGGCTGGTAACTTCAACCTACACGCATGAGTACCAATGTGTTCAACAATGTCACGAACTACGTCGTGACACCTCGATTACTCCACCAACAATGACCCTCCTTTGGCCATCAAAACCCCATCACGCCTTAACCTCTTTACTATACACGTAACTCAGGACTTCTGACACCAAGTACGGCGAAGTTAGACGGAGTTAGGCTAAGTAGGGACAATGGGAGCAGAAGTACGGCGAAGTTAGACGGAGTTAGGCTAAGTAGGGACAATGGGAGCAGAAGTACGGCGAAGTTAGACGGAGTTAGGCTAAGTAGGGACAATGGGAGCAGAAGTACGGCGAAGTTAGACGGGGTTAGGCTAAGTAGGGACAATGGGAGCAGAAGTGCGGCGATGTTAGGCGGAGTTAGGCTAAGTAGGGACAATGGGAGCAGAAGTGCGGCGATGTTAGGCGGAGTTAGTCGAAGGAGGAAGAGGATGGCCGAGGGCTCGGGGAAGTTGGACGAAGTGCGTTGAAGTACGTCAAAGCGCGAGAGGGTTGGATGAACGTCTAGGAGGAGTAGATAATATTAGCTGAGAAGATCGCTGAAGTTCTTCAGCGATCCTTGATTGTTGTCAGTAGTGAAAGACAGATAGAGATAGCTATAAATCAAGATACATCGCCATCAGTAGAACAAAACCCTAGTTAGAGTAACTACGCCGACGTACGCCGTAGTTACACCCCTTTCGACGTCTGCGCCCTCCTGGTTGGGTGAGACATCGACTCAGAGCGTGAAGTTAGCCGAGGTTCGTCGACCGTCGGTCTATTAAGAAATAGTTGTTCGACGGCCGTGACACTATGCATATGACTTACAATTTTTGCTGGTGGCCACATCATACTGGGTCTCTTAGTTCTAATATTCTCAAGAGATAACATTATTTTGCTTCCGACTTCGAAAAGCGGTGGCACCTACCATTGTGGCACTTTCCAGTCCTCACGGAATTTCTGCCACACATGCACACCACACACCACCACACACCACCACACACCACCACACACCACCACACACCACCACACACCACCACACACCACCACACTCCACCACACTCCACCACACTCCACCACACTCCACCACACAACCACTAAGGCCCACCCACCTCCCCATGCAAAGACCATGCTTCAAAGCACTTCATAGGCTCAATGCATAATGCATACAAACAAATTTTTGAAGAGGGGGGTACTGTTACAACCTGGTAAGCCAGCTTGTAACACCAAGTCCCATGATCTCTGAACAAACCACCTGAAGCCCTTCAACCCAACCATAACTCATTGCTCCCACAAACTGCGAGTAACTCCGTCACCAACCGACAACCACCGATAACATTTGATAACCTTTGCTCACCGGTGATACTCTTTGATAGGCACCGATAACCTACAATCGTCTCTCGACGCATAGCAAGCGCTGCCGTGCAAGACATGTACTTGCACCGCAATGCATGCAGACCTCCGACCAGACTCGATGGATTTCAGAGGATAGCAATGCGGGACATAGGGAAGAGCCAAATGTATCATAGCAGAGCAATGATAAGCATAGGAAGGCGCTAGAAATCCGGTGGCCTGCGGAGCAGGCCCCCTGAGACCCTCTGTAGACTTCAGAGATCAATTATCATACATTTTCACCAATCACTGACCAAGTCCTTGATACTAACCTCGACTTCAACCTTGTCCTCAACATAGGCCCCAAGCCTCAATCTCTTCAATACCTTGGGCCCTATTTGTCACGTGGCGCCGCGTGACATCATCCTTTTCCCATCAAACAAAGTTCCTTTGGACATCAATTTGCCATCAACGACCCAGTTCTCATGAACTTCACCACCCACGAGGGTATTAGGAGGCTAACTTCGTCGAGGACGAAGTTAGTCATGTAGGAGGTTAGTGAGATACGAAGTTAGTGAGATACGAAGTTCGTGGGATACGAAGTTAGGGAGATATGAGGTTAGGGAGGCACGAACTTCGTTGGGGACAAAGTTCGCGAGGTATGAAGCTCGGGGACTCGGGTTGAACGAAGTTCTGCATTGGCGAAGTTAGGGAAGAACGAAGTACTTAAGGACCGAAGTTCCCAGGGATCTTTGACGATCTCTGGTTGTTGTCTTAGTGATAGAAGTTAGTAGACTACGAAGTTATTACACCCAGAAGTTATTGTCACCACCCATACTACGAAGAACAAGCCTATTAAGTGTCATAGCCCACGAAGTTATTGGCCGTCGGTCCTAGGAAACGAAGGAAGAACCAACCCTGTGACACTATTATTGTCATCGGACACGCTCTTGTCATCATCATCTTGGACTCTCTCCTTGTCAGTAAGTAATCTCGTCCAGTGTATCAAAGCTCCACTCTCTCTCTATCCTTCTTCATTACCTTGTCATCCACTCCTCTCTCTTCCTCACTCGTCCACCTGTTGTCTTTACTTCAAGACAGCCAGGCTTAACACTGATACTACTTTTATAATGCCACATCATCATGTATGACCTGCCTCTGTGCAGTGTCATAACAGAGGGTTATGACAGGAACACATAGACTTCCATAGATTCCATTGGATTTGATTCAACCTGCAATCAAGTCAGTGTATTTCCAGTATCATTACACCTCTGTGACAGCCCCCCTGTGACACAACCTGTCATAAATCTCGAATCTTGGTCGCAGTGCAAGCAGTTTATCAAGGGTCTCAGCTCATACTACAAGCTGAGCATTGGATCTTTTAGCACAAGAGCCTAGTGCGCGTCACCCTTTAGGCGTATGCATTACACAACCCTCTTTGTGCTCTCTACACTTACAGACTTTGTTTAAGTGACTTCCAATATAACTCTTCCTTGGCACTGGGGTGCTCTTTGTCATCATCCAATCCATTCTACAGTATCACTTGCTTTCATTGTTATAGTCCTCTGAAGTTGAGTCCTCGTCACTGCCTTGCTTTCAGGTTGTAACACTCTCAGCAATAGCCTTCCGCATAATGTATGTGGACAGAGTACAAGTCCTCTCTGTATCTTCATTTGAAAGGATTGAGCTCACTAAGTCTTCTACACTTCCAAGTGTCTGGCATAGTTGTGTTGCAGACTCAGGGGTGATCTCATTGGTGGGAGGAACACAGCTTTCAAGCAATGCCATATGACCATAGACATTTTGGGTCAAGAACTTCATTTTGAGCCCAGAGTTGTCTGCAACTGACCCTCCTTCACGGGCTGCCCCGTCTGCTAGTGCCTGTGAAGCATCCTGCAGACCTTCCAGCCACCGTTTTGAATCACTCTTTGCCTCCTGCAAGCTTGCATGTGAATCAGTGCGAGATTGGACTGTCCATTGTGGATCAGTACTTTCCTCCACCCGCACTCTTACCATCTGCTCAATTGAATCAAGCGCTTCAAGGCCTTTTCAACGTCCTTTTGGGCTGTAGTGAGTAACATGGCGGTGATCTGGAAACTGTTGAGCTTGGGCCGGCCCCATCTGTAGACGACATGATTAGCTACCTGGAGTCTTTGACTTGGTGAGCAATACCAAGCAGCGTGGGGAAGTTACCACTGTATGTCATCCTCCCTGCTATTTATGCCCTTCCCTGCTCATGAGAAGAATAGACTTTACAAGATATAATCGGGGTAGTTGAAAGGTGGAAACGCTAAAGCTGCATACTCGGACATCCCAGAGGTAACATCAGGCAAGAAGGGATGAGAAAGTTTGTCTAGAAGACATAGCCTTTGGAGTTGGAACAATGGATGGGAGAGGTGAGATGATGTCAAATTGCCCGTTCACACTTTCTCCTTTCTTCGAAAAGCTGTGAAATCTCCACACAGCCTCGTTCTGACCCTTCCAACCGGTGTAAGCGATCCCACGTTCACACGTTCACACTCCAAACCGCGTCATTCGTCCCCATCACTTCTCTAGAAATCGTCTTATCCTCCTCCTGTCTCGCCTCGATCGTCTCGCCTCGATCGTCTCGCCGTATCGCCCCATCCTATTCTCACGCATTTCATATAGGGTGGGAACGCGAGAAAGTCTTAGAAGAAGGCAGTTTGCTAGCCGATGTGATCGGAGGAGGGGTTGAGAGACGGAGGACAGTGAATCAGTCGATAGAACACACGATCGAACGATATTGTTCATGGCAAAACACAGCTCTCATCCAACACACCGCGATCCTTGACTCTCCATTTCACCCACATATCATCCACCATCGCCCTAGAGATCACCACCTCGACATTATCCCAGTCCCCCTTCTCTTCTCCTGGTGTGTTTTGATGCTTATCGTGAGTTCGTCGATGTCGTAGAAAACCAAGCTCGGACAGAGCGTAGATGGTGTCGTCTAGTCGAATATGACATGCTTGGGACATTTGGGAAAGGGTAAGACGGATGGCTTGTCCGTTTCCATCGGGTATTTTGACTAGGTCTGGGTGTTAGCTTAGCGAGCCAACGACATCTCCTTTGTATCTGACTGCTCGTCTTGAGTCCATCTAAATTTGATTTCTCATGTTTCTGTGTGCGATGTGAAAGGTGATGATTACAGATGAGAAGCTTACCGACGCCGTTCACATTCACCACAGTCTCCTGAGATTTTAACGCGATACTCCTTCGAGGTCTACTGGTTCGAGTGGCTTTGGATGTCTGTGGAGGATCGGGAGGGAGGAGGGTGCGACAGAACCGAAGAATGACGGAGTTCCAATAGGAAGTGTAGCTCTTCAGACCTAGGTCAGATAGAGGGCGCTCGGGCGTTCCAGGTGAGCCAGAAGCAGGACGGGTGGAAGGATGAAGGGTGAGGTGATAACCTGCGAGTCAGTATGACATTTACACACATACAAAAATGACCGTTGAGGGTCTTCTCATAAAGAGTAGGGAGGGGATGACTCACTGAATTCCATGAGTAAACGTCCAAATCCACGAGATTGATATTGAGGGAAAGTGATGATACAGGCGAGATTATAGTCGTCGTAGGAGTACTTTTCCTGGTCGTCAGGTACGAGGTCACATATCTTGGATACCACAGGAACGGTCTCCCTTGCCTTTCCCATTTGATCCGATCATAGGGAATGAGTTTGGACAGCGGGATGCCGGACATCAAGAAAGAGACGACGAACCTTTGAGAAGAAAGCCATAACCTGGTCTCGTTTCGAAGTGGCCGCATCGCAGAGAACATAGAACAAGAAGTGTTCTACCTGGATCATCAATATTACTCACAACTTCAACATCGTCACTGACATGGAAGAACAACGACTATATATTAGCTTGTGTCATGCATGTCATTAAGAAATTCGAGCTCACTTTGACATCGATGAACAGCTTTCCGAATAGACTAAGATTCTGGCAATACAGCTTCTGTTCAGCTATTTGAATGACACATTTACGAGAAAACATACAGTCGCCTCCGCACCGTCCACTTGGTAAATCGAATAACTACCTTTCTGATAAACTCTCTTTCCCGGAGGCTGAAGCAGATCGCAGGATGTCTACCCTCGTTAGTCTCCCTCACCAATGAGAGTGGACTCACGTAGTGTTGCTGCCATGCGGGTTTAGTACGAAAGTATTTAAAACATAACTGATTGTCAAAGTCATTTTCTACAAATGATATTGGACATACATCACAAACATAGAGTTTTCCGAGCGATTGTCCACTATGATCCTCTACCTGTTTCGAGATGGGATCAGGCGTCATTCTTTTGGGATCTGGAGGAGGAGCCATTGAGGTTTTTCTCTTCCTCGCGGTAGATGTCAATTCAGATGGGACAGTTATAGACGATGTATTAGTAATTCTGGTCATAATCAAGTTCCCAGACGATTCGAGAGCTGGGAGAGGATATGGTGAGAAATGCCTCGGCTTCAGCTTGTGGTCCGAATGGAAGGGGAAAGCTTACCATGGAGTGATAACGTATTCTGCAAAACGTACTTCATCAAATTTGCTTGAAGAGGAAGTGACAGAGTTGCTCGATTCCAGTTGAGCGGCGCGGGCGCGCGAAGGAGAAGGGGGAGGAAGGCGAGAAGTCGAGGTGAGAGTAGGGGGCGGGAGACGAGTCGAGGATCTGTTCAGAGACAAAGGAGTTGGGATGCTGGGAGGTGGCATAGATGTCTGATGCAGTTAAGACAGTACAGGAGAAGAAGATACAGGGATGATGTCACTCACTGAAGGGCTATCAGAAGGAAGGGATGCTCGTGGTGCTGTGACATGTAAACTTTAGGCTTTTCGCAGTAGAGAAAGATACATACCTATCCGAGCAGACCTCCTGCGGCTGGGTAAGGTCTCTGTGGTCATGATGGTTGGCGCTGGTAGGTCGACTTTTGGCATTTGTAGATGGAAATGTGACAGTGCAAGAGAAGAGTGAATGGGTGGTAACACGGAGTTGACGACATCTCCGTCATCTGCCTCCGGCGTGAGATAGATGTCACCGATCCATAGGCCATAGGTCTTTGATCCGGTCAACTTGGATCTTTGCCTCAGTCATCAAATATACTCTAGGACGAAGCAAAAGCGCAATAGTGTGATAGGATAGAGGAGCGGACAAAGACCAAGGCGTAAGAAGAACACATCACGATGTGCGGTCGTTACGCTCTAGCGCTGAGTAACGAAGAACTCTACGATGCTCTCCAAGAACAACTCCCTAGGATGTTTGACCATGGTCGTCCAAGATGGGAACGTCCTCAGGATTATCGACCAAACTATAACGTTGCTCCGAGACAGAGAGCTGCGGTGATACATCGGGATACGGAGTCAGGAAGGGCGATGATAGAGACTATGCAATGGGGTTTGATACCACATTGGAGTAAACATCCTCCAAGCGGACCTCTGAACACTATCAACGCTAGATCGGAAACTTTGCTGTGAGTGCTTCATCCAACTCGCTGTCCATTTTGGCATCTCAATATGCCATCTAGGTATCGAAGATACACGGAGTTTAGGCGTTATTGAGCTGACTCAGTAGAGATCCTACATCAGGAGGCATGTGGCATCATCTAAAAGGATCAAAACGATGTGTCGTCCCTGCTCAAGGGTGAGTTACTCTATCTCATACTTACCCTTCAACGGCATAATGTTATCAAAGTTCCTTCGCATATCAGTGGAAGATCAGAAGAACCGGCTGAAAAGCTCTGAAGAGGGTATAGCTGACCATAGAGGTACTATGAATGGCTCAAAAAACCATCTACCAAGATCGCTCATTTCACACGACTACCTCTCGGACCGAAAAATGACAATACATCACCTCCCTTGATCTTCTTCGCAGGTCTGTACGACATTGTACATTATGTATCACCTGTCGAATCTCGTTTCCGACCTTCTTCCCCTGATCCGGAAACGGGGGAGAAAGATACAAGGGAACCTTATCCCACCGGCAACCCACTTCCCTTGGCGACTTTCACGATACTTACCACTGCCCCGGCTAAAGATATACGCTGGCTACATGATCGTATGCCATGTGTCTTGAATGGGTGGGAAGAAGTTGAGAGGTGGTTGGGAATGGATGGGATAGACGGGTGGGTGGAGGGGAAGAATGGGACGGGGCAGATGTTGAGGGGTTGTGAGGGATTGGATTGGTGTGTGATTTCAATACATCTCTCTGCTGTCTGTATACCTGCTTTTCTAGCAACTCGCTCTGTTCCAAAGACATTGTAATCAAGGTCAAGCTGATCTGATAGCTTCCCTGTCAACCCGGAAGTAGGAAAGATAGGTACAAATTCCCCAACATTCATACAACCCGTATCAGAAAGATCTGACGGTATCAAATCTTTCTTCCAAAAACAACAACTCTCCCCTTCGAAACTTGCAAAATCCTCTCACTCTTCTCCTCGCTCTGTCAAAAAGATCGATTCTTCAGAAACTTCACCGATCTCTCCGCAGATATTGGAGGAGACGAAAGATGTCAAGCCAAAGGAAGAAAAGGGATTAGGTGACGATTCCAACGCTCCTAATCCTACTCCCACTGTATCACCAGGTAAGACACCAGGGGTGAAGAAGGAACAACCTACGCCGAAGAGAAAACGACAGTCAGAATCGGACGCAGAGGAAGAAGCCCAGGAAAAGCCTCAAGGACGGAGAGGGGGACATCAAACGAAAGTAGTCAGACGTACGGATCCGGAGGATCACAAAGCAGCCGTGTGTCTTATACTCATTTCTGAAGAGAGATGATGAGAGCTGATGGGGTAGCAACCCAGTATCACGAGTTTTTTCCAATCGCCTGCCAAATCAAGCACACAAGGGGCGAAGAGAAGCACACGAAAGAGTAGATGAGCATGAAAGCCCAGATGCTTCTGCTTGATGAGTATGAGGGTGTTCGATGGATCTTATGTACATATCACACGAATTTGTTGTACTGAACTGGATTATATTGGTCATGAATAAAGTACTTAGGTAGAATTTTTGGCTGATTTATGATATGAGTAAAATTCGTGAATCCCTTTTGGCTTTACATCATCATCACCATAACCTAAACCTGACTTCATCACATAAATTCAACTCATCATAACTTATGTCCACCCAATCCGACATGCTTAACCCAGCTATGAAATCCTTCATCCTCGCACCTCGTTTCGCTGTCATCGGTCGGATCTTATCTGATCCAACAAGATTCGACAATAAAGTTCTTCGTTTCTACCTCTCTCATTCCTTACCCGTCACACCTATCAAACCTCAGTCTTCTCCTCAAACCCCCTCCCAAATCTCAGAAGAGACCATCGAAGGTCTATCGGTTCTCTCGGACATCGCACAACTCGGCGATATCACAAACACCGCCATCAGCGTGATCATCCGACCAGATGTAGGTGTTCCCATGATCAAGAGACTGTTCACCGGTGAGAACCAACCATGGGGTGTATGGTTTCAACCTGGAGCAGAGAATGGAGAATTGGATAGGTTTGTTAAAGAGAATAAATTGGAAGATAAGGTGATTTATGGTGGACCTTGTATTTTACGTTCTGGACAAGAACTTTTAAAGTCAAGATCAAAAATGTAAACCCCTCCCCTCCCTCTCCCCCTTTATCTCCATTGTTCTTTGGGTTTAAATCTCGACACTGAGATTGACTCTGCTTTTTGTAAGGCTACGGTGGATAGGATGGATACACACTCGTACAAACTTTTGACTCCAAACTGTCATTTCGTCATTGATCGACTACGATATCTCTTCGTACCACCAAATAGGACATGTCGATAGAAACCCAATACTTCCATTCCCACCAAAGGGGAAATATCATTCTTCCTCCATTTTCGAACTTCCTATCACCCATTCACCATTTCTCACGTTCCTTCACCGCTCTCGTTCTAATCTCTCTCAAACACAAACATCGCATACGTCTTCGGTATATCGGTTCTCGTCCCGAACGCCGAGTACACTCCGGTATATCGGCTCGATATCTCTGGTGACATCCCTCATGAGCAGGTGATACATGGTACGAATATGATGAATTTCCCCCAATTCGTGAAGAACGATGAACCATCATATCCGTTGGTTCATATTCATCCCCAAAAATGGAATTCCAAACCGCATCGTGGTTCCGCCTCCGGTACCCTTCGGTTTCTTTCGATTGATATTATACTCACTTTCACCCGCTCTCGGCCAAGATCAAAATTTGTTTTCGGTCAAATGTCAATGTGATCCGAAAACACTTCATTCACATCCAACAGTGAATCCCAATATCCCGATATCACAATATTCAACACGTTCACTTACGACAAGAAAGACCCTTTTATCCTCTCATCCAGTTCCTTACTTGATCAACACAAGAAGAAACTGTCAAAGCCCTCTATCCATTTTAACCAAAACGTTGATCCTTTGTATACCTGCGACCAAAGACGAACGAGGAGATGAGTCGGAAACGTGAGTCATAGTCGTCATCCTTTGTTTCTCCCTTCTTATGCTGTGTCGTCTACCCGTTCAAATACGGCGTTCTAGTAGGGTTGAAGGGCACAGCATGACTTTTCTTAAGCTGACTATTTCCCCAGACTATTGAATCTCCTCTTTCACGAATTGGAAGACGCTCGAACAATCCATCAAAACATCATTTTCGTTCTGAGTCTTCTTCGTCTTCCTATCGACTTGTCATCATTTTTACCAAAAGCAAAACCGTCTCGTGACACTACGACTTGAAAAGGACTTTCATAAGACCCTGGCAAAGACCAAGGGAAGAAGGAAGTAAAGACAAACATGCCATTCGCTCTTCCAGCTTTACCTTCGGGTATAGTTGATTTACTGGATCGTTCTCCCCCTGTCGTTTATCCTTCTCATCGTGCCAACTCTCCAGCAAATACACCTACCAAAAGACGTGATCGTGAATGTCCAAGAGGAAGAGAAAGATCCCAATCACATTCTCGTTCTCCACATCATGGAAGATCACATTCTATTTCAGTCGTCGACCCAACTTCTCGACATCAAACTGGTGGACTTGGTCTTCTTCCAGGAGCGAGTGCGAGTGTAAATGATATAACTAGTTTATGGCAACGTGTACCAAGATCTACTATACCTCAACCACCTCAAATTCCCGATACTCCTCCAAGAAATGGTAACCTACCATTAGGTTCTTCATCCGTTACCACATCCACGCCACCCAGACCGACGCATAGGAGAGCATTAAGTGCCATACCTGCAACTCCTGATCCATTCTTCGCTTTTCCAAGACAAGTCACTATCAAACATCCTTCTCCTATGGGAAGATTACAAGAATATTCACGAAATCCTTTAGCTTCTGTGTCGGCAGTATCACTTCCAACTCTTGCGGAAACGGATAATCAAATTCCATCCCCAACTTCTCCACTCGTTCGACCCGTAAGACCTATGAGTAGAGCATCTTTGATTCGAACACCACTCATTTCACCTTTACTCATACCGAACGACAATGATAGAGAAAGGGAACCTGTTTCTCCAATGTCTATAGGTTCTTCTTTACCTGATGAAAGACAATTTCGATTGGAAAGAGATGTTTTCGTTCCTCCACCTCAACCGCATCAAAGAAAACCTTGGTCTCCAAGAAGTCAATCAGCACAAGAAATCAATACTGTCCGTCAAAGTGTCATTTCTTCCGGATCAACAAACGGTCAAAACAGTGATACCTCTTCTCAAGAACGAAATTCCGACCAAGGTGTTTCACAACCCATACCAGTAGGTATGTTAGGTTTAGATGGTATAAAAGGGAACGGAGATTTAAGAGGTGGAATACCAACACATCCTTCTATGTCTTTACGTAGATTAAGTCTACAACCAAAAGTTTCAGATGTTGCAGTATTAGCAACTTGGTCATTCCCTTCTTCACCAACTCAACCTTCTTTAACTCGTACTCAAAGTCTTAAACATTCACATACGAGTAAAAGATTACATGATCTGGCCAATATGTCATCAAACCATTTAACACTAAAAGCTAAAACGGAAATTCCTCCTTCGATGGGTAGACGTTTAGTTAATATTACACATCGACATACACATTCTTCTCCTAACCTAAACCATCTACTCGATCCTTCTCCCATCAGGTTGAAATCAACTCCTATACCTTTCCCTCTTCTTCCAGGCGGGTTAGGAACTTCAACATCATCTTCAACCTCTTCCTCATCTTCCGGTAAAAATAGACAAGGAATAGAAGAAACGGAAGAAGAAAAGGAAAGAAGAGCAATGCCACCTCCTCCAAGACCGAAATTACAGGAAGAACCATCAGCTTTAGCTTCTTATATGGCAGCATCACTTTCTTTTCGAAATCAAAATCAAAACCAAACTCCGATAATAATACCACCTACACCAGATGATCGTCCTAAAAAATTAGCTTCAAGTTCAGGAAGTATGATATCAACGGATGAAAGTGGTTTTATGCCTTCTCCTACTTCTTCTGTCTTTTCATTACCTATTCATTTACCTCCTTCTTTTTCTTTACCTTCTTTCCGACGAGAAAATTATGAAATACAAGAAAGAAATCTAATGGAGTCTCATCAAAGGGATTTACATCTAAAAGTGGGATATGAACAAAGAGGGGGTGAAGATCATGATGGAAGGGGAAAAGATGAAGAAGAAGAAGGAGGTATAACGAGGAATGAAGAGATATCAGGAAGGTTTAGATGGTTTAAGAAAGCTTTCGGAAGTACTACTAAAGATACTGTTGGAAGTCATGATAGACGAAAGAAAAGGTTGAGATTAGGAGAGGAAACAAATGCTTTGACAGATACTTCTGATGAAGAAGGAATGGATTTGGATTTGGAGTTGGAGTTGGATGATGAGGAGGTTTATAAGACAATGGACGATATCTGAGCTGATTTCTCTCAACATTTCCTCTCTTTTTCCACATGTTATCTTCTTCGTAAACCATCTTTTCTCATGCTATACAATATATCATTACCCCTTCATTCTCCCACCATCACATCATCACGTTCCTCGACGTAAGGACTATTCCTGGACGATCATCCGTTGTTTCTTCACGATCCCAATCTTTATATCAACCTCATCTTCCCTCTGGCCTTCCGACATCCCCACCACTCCGTTTATGATCTAAATTTGTTGTATATGACCAATTTTTTGGGTTTTAGGTAATTGATGTATCTCTTTTTCCAATCCAGTTTATCATCAAGTTGCATTACAGTAGCTACATTAGAAAAACGGATCACCCATTGTTCCTCTTTACCCATCAAATTAAATACCGTCAGTCCATCAATGTCCTTACTCACTATTAAACTAGATACAATAAATCAATGTCCCTCTTCAGTCATCCACGAACCATAGACTATTATAATCACCTCGCCCTTATATCAACATGAGTTGACTGTCCTTCTTCACCTATAAAACTAGATGAAGCAACTGTCCTGATGAATTATACCTCCTATCCCCATTCCGCCATTATCCTGAGTCGTATTCCGGTCATTCGTCACATCAATCATCTCTGCTCGTGAACCGATCACAACGACCAGAGAGAAATTAGCAATGCCAAGTGTTATCGGGAGCACCTGGTTCTCTGACGTAGATGTATGGCCATTCGCCTGAGGTTAGTATTTCCCCATACTCACCTAATACAGTCCGTCAAGCCAATTCAGATACCTTTCAAGTGGACCGTATGGGTCACACAAGAAAATGGCAGAGTGAAAACGAAGAAATGTGATTATAGTGAAACGTTGCGGATGTCTTTGAGAATGCAAGAGGAACATGAGAAAGATGAACAATTAACGATATCTGAAGCGAAGTTGGGGGGGGGGTTGGAAATAGGTGGTTAATTAGGACTCACCATCACCACCTAAACAAGTATCAACAGCGACTAATTGATATCCAGCTTGTTGTAATTTCGGTACAGCATAAGGTAAAACTTGTCCTGAAGTAGTTTGTATAGTCGAATGATCTAAAACTAAATGAGGATTCGGAAAATTGTTTATAACTCCATCATAAACGTTTTCAGAGTATGATACTGATTCTCCATTTGCATCACCTATATCTTCTGACCAAAGGAATACTTTTTTATACCCTCTTTGAGCCAAGACGGATAGTGCGAGATCGTTTATACTTCCGTATGGGGGACGGAACTGACAGTCAGACTTGATGTAAAATAGGTTTCAATACGACATAGACTTCACAGGTGTGGGGAGTGACGTGGGTCTATATCCGGGAAAGGGTTGAGGGTTGAGGGAGGAAACGAGTGGACAAGCAAAGAGGGGAAGGTTGGGAGAACGTGGTGAGTGCGAGAGACTACTTACATAGAGAGGTTTCAACCCTAGAATATTGACGAATGCATCTTCTACTTTTTGTAATTCTCATCATCAGCTTTGTGTTATTGTTACTGAGAAGTAAAGAAAAGACAAACCATCGTTGATTCCTGCTTCATCCAAAGTAGTCAAATCGGCATGTGACCAAGTGTGTGAGCCAAGAGTATGACCTCTGATCGTTAGCGTATGTTATATGTAACACAGCCGAATTTGAGTATTCTTCGTATACTCACGACCGGAACGTCTGGTATGTGAAGAGGAAACGGTCCATTTCAGATTAGATAAGCAGAAAGAGGGAGAGTACGTAGAGTAAGGGGTGACTTACGCGTCATGTAAAGCGCGGATCTGATCCACTCGATCGTATATACACACGTAATTGTTTCCCTAGGTGGATCAGCGTCGGCCTTTGATACCGGATGTCTCTCATATCCGCGAATCCGCAGCCGAAATGAAGATCTTTGTGTTTTTCCCAGATCATCGGCGTGGGGCGCTAGCATGAATGTCGTGATGATTCCAGTGGTAACGACGCTAAAAACACCGCTACTCAATTGTGGAGTAATGAAGGCGAAAGTTTCATAGATTGTGAAGCAATGAGTTTGCTAGTCTAGTTATTGATTTGCGAATGACAGACGGGGGGAGGAGGGGGATGGCAAAGCAGGGCGGGTGTAGGTGAGTTGTTGAAACTCACGTTTAAGAAGAATGTTCCCTTACCGCCATTCAAAGCGTTGGCAACATCACCTTCATAATCGTATGGTCCATCTGATCATCAGTCAAATAACCTCATGACTTCATACTGCGGACTGAGAAATGACAGTCACCGACGACGGGGACATATTCACTAGCCTAATGATTGACAAATGACCGTGATCTCCTCCTTAGAGGCTAGGAGGTAGTGATTGACAGATGATCATGATTTTCAATTAAAAATCCAATGACAGGATATGATACCCATGTGAGGCAGTAGATATTTCAAAATGCCAAGAAAGAAACTCACCGTCAAAAGTCAATGCCACTTGACCAGAAACGTAACAATTATTGATAGTTTGTAACCCATCTTGTCTAGTCGTAGGATGTCCCAATACTCCTAAAGATCCCAAGACGAGTAATATGGAAGTGAGAAAAAACATTTCTTAATATCTCGTGGTTGTCTTTGAGATATGAATACAATATCCAATTAGTTTCACTCGTGATTGTGTTGGTAGCGATGAATGTGAGCTAGAAAGTTTAGTACTTAAAAGTAAGAAATTTGCGTGTTGGGAGAAGAGAAGACATCTTTATATATATATTTCTATTCACCTTTCAACATCTAGTAAACCAAGTCTTCGGATGAGAAGACCGGAAAGAGGCGATGACTAAATCACAGGGATCACAGGGCGTAAGTAGGTAACTCCATGGCTCCACCCGCAATCTCCCGCTAGTTTCGTGAGATCCGCTCATTTGGAAGTGTATGGTGCATGGTGCATGGAGCATGGTGCACGAGGTGAAGAGAAGTGCGAGAGATAAAGGAGCATGAGGTGAGAGAGGGGAAGTACGAGAGTAAGAGTTGAGGAACACGAGGTAAGGTAGGAAATAGAAGGATAGAAGAGAGAGTTAACGTATGATACGTAGGAGAGAGATGGGAAGGCGGGATTACATGATGGAGTTTGGAGAAGACGGAGATCAAACGTCATCAATTGAGTGACATCACTCGGACATCATGGCTTTCGTGGCTTGGTGAGTTTGTGGGATCATGGAGGCATGAGAGTATGAGAGCATGAGAGCTACACTTGTAGGCCTACGATGGACACTTTAAAAGATGTAGAATACTCCGTGGTGAATTGTAAAGCTGTGCAAACTTGGGTTAAAATTGAATGATGAGTGATGGAGAGATCAAGGGAAGGATCCGGTTTAACGGACCGTATAACCGGTCAATCTTCCATTCGGACATGACCGTGGAGTACGAGTAGCAGCGAGTAGAGTATATGTTCGTACCAACCCAAGACTTCCATCCAACTTGAAGACGGCGAAGGGTAGACGGGGATTGGGTTAGAAGCATAGTCTACACTGCCTCATCTTGACACTGCTCTAATTTCCGTGTGGAGCGGAAAGAAGGCTCGGAGAATAACGACAACCTTCCAGGGTATGGTACGAATACATTATTCCTGTAGAATAATCCATTTGCGTATGATGGAATGATGTACGTGTAGAGATGTACGGTACCATGTGTTGATAATTCATCCCTCCAATTCTCCCCGCTTGAGTTGCTCCGCATCCACTTCTTCATCACTTCCCACTTCCTCCACTTCTGAACGTTTTTTGGGTGTTGGGCCTGTGGGGATAGTGGCTTCGTCGGGTATGATACCGTTTGTGCTGCTGGTCAAATGACAAGTCGCGGGAGATATGACAAAAGTTGGTTAACGGGTACAGTGATAAATGAACCACACGACACGGCTGAGGAGTCGGGTATGATTATTGACGAGCGGAGAGATGAATAGGACATGAGTGGGGGAAGGGACGCAGATTGCATGGGAAAAAGACGTACTTGAGAAAGCGGAGTATATTATCGGAAATCCCATCCATCTGTCTAGTCCATTTTTGGAATCTGCCAAATAAGTCTCTCTTCAATTCCATTTGTCTTGTGGGAAAGAAAGTCAATCTTTATGGTGGACTAGGGACTACGTCGTACAAGCAGAAGAATGGGGATTTGTAAGGAGGAGAAGTCACTTCTCCCAAAACCGGAGTACGTTCAGTGAAAATAAGAGGGGGATGAAAAAAAGGGATACATCCAGTAACAGACAGAACTTACACATGTCGTTCCAACTCTTCTTGCCTTAATCTCTCATATATGTACTTGACCTTGAAAGCCATAATCTCCTCAGCGTAAGACGTATAGTCCACTGGTTCATGATCATATTGATGACTGTTTTCTCGGATTCGTTTGTTGTAAGTTTTGAACTGTGGAGCTTCTAGTAAAAGGCCGAGTGGGGGTGCTTTAGGTATGTGAATACGTTTTGATCCTAGATATGAGCTTTTCAGATGTTTTGATGTCTTTCTAATAGCTTTTGATGATTCCATATACCTCCGTCTGCATCATCGTGCTCAAGTACCTCTCGGCTCACAGGCAAACGAGGAAGAGAATCTCTTTCCTGGTGTACAAAGGCAAGAGTGAGGTGTTTAATTCGAGAGCAGTCAAGAGTGATAATAGGTAAGACGCCATGTAGATAAGCCGGTAAGACAGATGTTTGAGCACATTGGAAAGAAGTGTACTCACCATAAGTTTCACTGATTATCTTTGCTGGTGTACCTGTCCTACAGGCCAATACGGCCATCGATATCATTTTTCTCTGTCGTGTCAGTTACGTCCTATAACCTTGACGTACAGGTGACTATATCTGATAGGAGGGATTCGAAGCGAAAGTTTAATCGGGACGGGGAAATGATCAAACAATGATGGGTGAGACATGTAGGGATACTGAACTAGAAGTAAGCAGATAAAATATCACTCACGATTTGATGTAACATGAAACTTTGTCCATGAATCTGGACTGAAATCCATTCTATCTCTCCATACACCTTTGGGTCCAAAACATCAATTTGGATCATATGTCTTTTGACCGCTCGATCGTGGAATGGTCTGCCAACTGTGTAATTGTGGAAGTTACTGGGGTCATCAGTCTTTCTACTTCCGCCTTGTCGCTCAGACTGAGAGAGAAAGATCTCTTGGCTATCATGGAGACGAGGTTTAAATTAGTAAACCTGAATCTGGTGGCTGTGATGATACATGAACGAATTTTGTCGAACTGAGCAAAAGACCAAACGCGCGTTGGAAGAGTCGCTTGGGTGAAGGAGAGACGGAAGGAGTGGAGCAGAGGTAGAAATCCCACTCACTGACTCCCAAGATACATGCTCATCAAACCTCTAAACCTTCCCATGGTACCCTCATCAACCCTCCAATTTCTCCTTCGTTCATATTCCCCTCTCCTGGCAGGAGTATCGGTAGTGACAGCGGATTCATCCACCTCCACCAGAGGAGGTGCAGCATTGACGAATTCTGTTCCTGGTCCTAAGCCCTCTCGCCATCCGGGGGAACTGGAGTCGAGTTGTTTAGCCAAGGAGGAAGAAGCAGTGGGAGGTAAGAGACAATAAGAGGGAAGAAGGTATTCGTAGATTCTTGAATCGCATGAGCTGAGGGTGAGTCATTTCTCTAGAGCTAAAAACCACCGGTCTATCATGCGCTGCTCTGCCTTCAAGCAATTACGAAAACTCCGAGAAACCCATCTCTGGTAGGGATAATCTCAATGTGGCTAAGCTGCTGCGACCTGGTACTTTCGAGTGTGACGATGGTTGAGAGACGGATCCAATGATCGACCATATCGGTCGCCGTGCTGACGGCTAAGCCTCCCTGGAGCCATAGGTCCAGAGGATTAGAATGAGGTAAGAAAGGTAGACTGACACAAGAGGGATAAAGGGAGGTATGATTTACTCACGTTCTAGCATCAAACGACTTGATACATCTCACAAAGCCCCACATCCTTATTTGCTTCGGTAAGTAAGAATTGACCAGACTTTTCAACGTCTCATGTTCCGGTGGTAAAACAGGATTGATAATCATTTTCAACGATACGCTTCCATATCAGCCTCATCTTCCCCTTCATTCCACATTTTTACTACTTACCAATTACCCGCTGCGTGTACACCGGCATCTGTTCTCGCAGCTCTTTGCACGTCGACTTTCCGATGATCATTAGAATTATCACTACTGACCGCACCGGCTTTGACGAGTGCTTGAAATAATTCTCCTTCTATAGTCTCCGCTTCTCCTGGTTGACTCATTCGTCAGCTTTGAATCCTTATGATCAAGACAAACACAAACATTTGCATACCTGAATAACCCGTACCGCAATAACCTATCAAAAGAGCGACTCTTTTCTTAGGTAATCTCTTTACTCCGTCACCTTCTCCTTCAACACCATCATCTCCTGTTATTTCCTCGGGGTTGGTATTGACAGTTTCAGCCAATCGTTGGGCTTTTGCAACCTCTCCATCGACTGGACGGGCGGAAGGAAGTGCTCGACGGGTTTTACCTCGATATTCTCTTCTACCTTTACCTCGGATTGGTATATGGTCAGGTTTTTTCTCTATCACCGGATTGGCTATAGAGGCTTCCGATACTGAAGTAGTTTTTGTTTCTTCACCAGCTGGTCGGTCCGCGGATGTAGTCAATGATGTACCGGAAGGTCCCTCGTTATTGATGGGGTCGGAGGGGACGTCTGGAGCCGTGGGTGAGACATGAGGGACAATATCGAGAGTCGGTTTCTTTCTAGGAGAGGTAGGAGGAGAAGAATGTGATCTTTTTACAACCCCGGAACTCTCTGAGGGTACGATATCGGACATGTTGTATAGATCAAGCACTACCCCCAATGTCATCCCACCCACTTTTATGATCTTGTCCGACTTTCATGATCGAAATTCGAGGTTGTCAGGCTTACGTAATTCAGCCCGACTCGACCGAAAAAAAAAGTCTTTCTCTCCCAGAAAGTTGAAATCAAAGTTGTATCTTACATTGATTCATTGATTGATTAAGCTACCACACATCATGTCACAAAGACACGTAGCGGCCATGCTGCGAAGGTCAAGACAGTTTAAACAGATACGCTGGACTTCTTCTTCGCAGAGTGCCAACGCTCCTGCTTCGGGTCAACCGCCCACTCCACCAAAACCTATCGATGATTCGACTTCTGCGCTTGATTGTGAGTTTTGTTTTCTGTGCTTCGTCACGTACGTTCGCTCAACTTCCTGATCTCTCTTCACGTCCATATCTAGGACATCTAACTGACTAGGGAGTTAGCAAGGTGACCTATCGGCTGAGTGAGAAGGGAAGGAACAGGAGGAGATTGAACGGAGATTGGGAGAGAGTTAATTTACAGACAAAATGCATCGACCAGGTAGAAGACTACCTCATCTTGTCAATACTCACCCAAGGAACGTATCTGCCGAAGAGGCCGTGACGAATATCTTGTACAACACACCTCCCCCCAGTACGGAGCCGTATAAGCGGTGAGTTTATCCGCTGTTTTCTCATGTAGTTACTACCTTCCAACTCTTCCTGTCACTTGGACGGTAGTTCGGGAGAAAGTATGATTGCTCTTACATATTAAACAATCGAAGTCTGTGTGAAGGATATTGTTACCATCGACACGTTTGGGAGCCATTTTCTCCTGCACGGACACCATGTATGGCGCCTATTGGGAGACGTAGGGAGAGGATCAGAATAGTGTTAAACAAACAGACATCGTCTTAATTGTTTGGTACAAAATGAACCTGGTGTTTTATCTCGTGTATCCGGTATTCTCGCTGGAAGAGGTTTCAACATTGGTAACTGAATGCTCTTATTTCCCTCACTCCACTTTCCCCAAACAAACATTATACAACACCACAAACACCTCATCCAACTTCCCCCTCGAGATCATCTTAACCCCTATGGATTATAACATATTGGTTTTAGGTAACCAAAACTAACATTCAGATTCTTTGGTAGTATGTCAAACAGAAATCCGAGATTTATCACGTATGTGTATAGTACTCAAAGGTCAAGATGGTGTAATCGAACAAGCTCGTCGTCAATTAGAAGATTTAGTACCCGTTTGGGCAGTTTTAGATTATACAAACACTAATTGTGTTGAAAGAGAATTACTTCTTGCAAAAGTATCAATCTTAGGACCTGATTATGCGGATTTAAATCCAATTTCACATTTACCGAAATCATTCGAATCTTCTATACAAAATCCTACTCCACCTTCTTTCGTTTCTTCTTCTCCTTCTTCTTCTTTTTCTTCCACTTTTCAAAACGTAAATTCTACAGAAGCGAAAGTTCAAGCAGAACAAGCTTTGGCTAGATCTTTCGAAAGTGCTGCTGAACAATTTTATCCTTCTGTCAATAGTGGTGGTGGTGGTGGAGATGGTACGACAGGAGGAGGACATTTATATCCTTCTCGTCAAAGGGGTCAAACTGCTACAGAAGCTTTGATAGCTAAAAACCTTCATTTTAGCGCTATCAAAAACCTCGCTATGCATTTCGGTGGTAAGGTTGTGGATATGGGAGAAGATAATTGTATTGTTGAATTGGTTGCGAAGAGTAGAAGGATTGACGCTTTTTTATCTCTCATGAGACCTTTTGGGGTTTTGGAAGCTGCTAGATCCGGTACGTTGTCTCATTTAATCGACTCTCCCATTCAGCGTTTCATCTTTTGTCTTTTCATCATTCCTTCATTTTCTTGCATCTTCTTTCATATTCTCTTACTATTTGTATTATACAACAGGTGAACAGACACGCAACATCACCTACAAGCTTTGGCATGGTTTACTCGTCGAGCAGGGATTGTGGACAGATTAAAAGCAAGCAGACTGACCTACCAGGCGTTATGGTCCTCCCTCGAACTCCTATTCCCAAATACGGAGAAGAAGATGATATACCCGATACTCCAGGGGAGATTGACGCTTCGATGCTTCCTCCCGGTTAAAACGTTTCTCTATCTCAACCGACTAAATCTCTAATCTCCTATCGTCTGTGAAATTCCAAAATGTGCGACATCCACTTTCGGCTGAACAAAAACGAATCACTTCAATCTTCGATCTCAACTGCCTGAGACGATGGGATGAGATGGGGAAATTGTCAGATGAAAACTTTGGTAATTGATGCATCTAATACCCCAATGTGCCACGACAAATAATCTATCAAGGGAGAGCAGTAGCGACGATAGGATAAACTTTTTCGTATGTCGTAAAGATTATACCTCCGCTTAACTATTCAATGAGCTCTGAAATCTCTTCTCCTGAACTCTGAACAACATTATCTGATCAGGTGAAGGAGATTGTGAGATTGTGAGATTGTGAGATTGGCTCCGTCATGCAATTGTGCGATAATGAGATATGCTCTTGAATCCGAGGGAAAGGTGGACGCCCTGGAATGTGAGAGAGAGGTGGACGGTGGTGCGCTGTCAAGGGATCTGAGGGGGTTTGAGCCAAGATGGTAGAATGGTGAATAGAGAAAGAAGGTACGATCCACTCACAATCAACCGACCTAATCTTGGAACAGTACCCTTCCAAAGTCTCAATACACCTTCTTCACTTATGATCCGATAGAAACAATGGAAAGAATTTCGGTATTCCGCATGAGCGTGAATCCCTTGCATACGAGTTTTGACGACGCTGGGGGTCAATCGTTATACTTTTTCATCGTCTCTCCATTGTTCTCTATACTTTACTAAAGTGTCTCTGACCAGGACTGAGGATACGGGATGAGGGGAGAGGGCGCAGTCAAGGGTACCTACTCCAGAGGCATGGTGGTATCTGAAAGTCAGCTTGAAAATGATCACGAGTGGCTTATTTCTTGTCCTGGTGACACTGCTATTTCATCCAGGGTAATATGAGATCAGAAGAGTATGTGTCAGAGTCAAAACATGATCTTTGGGATCTACGTGGCGGTGTGGTTAGTGATTAGGAAATATGTGAACACAAGGGATATTGGGAGGGTCAGGATGATCAACAATTGGCGGAATGGGATGTAGTCAGGAGAAAGATAGTTGAAGGAATTATAGGCAGAAGAACTCACAGACAGTTATAATCCCAGCCATCGAACCGATCCCAAATGTAATATACCCAGGTAATGTCTGTCCGGGTGATACGGAACCCTGTACGAGTTGTTTGAGTGTAGAATAAGATGTGAATCTCACAGCTGAGTTACCCCCTTGACGGAGCATCTGCGATTTAGCGCTGACTGGGTTTTTGATACCAGTTTCATGCGACGAGCGTAAGTCATACGTCTCAGCGAGTCATCGGGTAAAGACAAGCCCCTTTTGACGGAGAGTGTAGGTGAAGGATCACAGCATGGGCTCGATGCAGGGATGTAAGGGATGTAGTGGGGATGAGTGAGTCAAGAAGTAGGAAAATATATCCTGGAGTCATGGTGTTCTTCGAGGTGCGAGACAGAAAGTGGGAATGAAGAGTTTGGAATCATAGCGCTGTTCAACGAGTGAGATCGACCGAGAAATAAGACGAGAGCAAAGATAGACAGAGAGATATTGAAGGGAAAAACCACTCACAACCGGCACAACACCTTGATATATCCCCCTCCAACCTTCTTGAGCCACTATAGCACGAGTAGCATGGATCATACCCTTATACTGCGGTTGGGGTCGTTTAGAATCTTCGATCATTTTTGTCCTTCTTATCAGTGACACTTCCCAGACATATGCTCTGTCCTACGACTACGCTGAACCTCTTGTGATCTACTTGCGTCGTGAGAGATCGTGAGGACCATCTCTGCTTGAGACAAGCCAAATCGCAATGCAATATATACTTTCACCACTGTAGAGGCAAAGTATAGCAACATGGCTCATGCGAAATGTACGCCATGGGTTGTTGAACATCAGGAGGAGAATGAAAAAGGAAAATGTAAGACTCACTTGATAGTTTCAGAAGGAGTGACAGCTATGACAGCTTCAGCCATTCCCGCTGCTAATCCAGCTAACATAGATCGTGGAGCACTGAGTTTTCCCTTTGGATCAGTGTAGGCTCATACATCATCGTCTCTACAGAATACCCCACTCTGACACGCCTTCATTCGTCATACCACCCTTCACTCTAGCTCATTGAGGACGGGAAAGTCTTCAAAAGTACGAGATTATGATCTGCCTATCCTCGCTAAACTTGTTAAACAACATCTGCTCGAAGGGAAGCTCCAGAGGGGTGGACAAACAGAATGGAGAAGACAGTGAGGAAGGAGAGATACGAAGGAGAACTAACAAACCCACCTCATCATCCCTTAACAAATTCTTGAAATAATCATAAGTAGTAAACCTAACTCCAGCCTTGGCAGCATTGCCAATGACAACAGCCGTACATCCAGCGTATAAACCTTTCAAACCTCTTTGAGCTAGAGTTTCACGGAGGAGCCCGTAAGGTGTTGGACGCTGAGGTCAGCGAATACTTTTCACTCCCGAACGGATTCTCGGGGGGGGGGGGGACATTGGGGTCTTCTTTCGGAACGAATTCCTGAATAATCGTCATTGACAAATGATGATGTTGGTAGTTAAGAACGATC